ATTTGATAGTTCGGTGTTAGGGGTGCGCGGGTGACAAACGAATCGGCCGTAATCGGCTCAAGGTCCACTCGGTGTCCCGCAAATCCGCAATGCCCGCGGTCAAATGTGTCCGGTCGTTTGGATAGGGGACACGCCCTGGACGCCGGGACGTTTCATACGACGGCGCGCTGGCTAGCTATACGGCAGCCGCCAGCGTTATCACCTGCCCCTTCGAACGACCTCTGACCGTCGGCGGGACGCTATATTTGGCTCGGCGCTCCCTGCCCACTCGATGGGCTTCTACCACGCGAACGTCTCATGCACTGACGTTCGCTTCCTGCACGGCGGCGCTTTTCTTTCTTAGTATAGATTAGTGAAGCGGACAGGTCGCGGAGGACGAGTGGCTGACTTCATTTATGAAGTGCGACTAAGCTGAGATTCTGGTTTAGTTGGCCTGTGCACGGTGTCCTTGAGTGTATGACAGCCTCATTTTTGTCTTCGTCTGTGTTGGGTTGCTATATTTATTTATTTATTTATTTACAGTACCTACAGTGCCCGCGAGGGGCATTAGTGTAGGGGGGAGATAATGATTTCGAAATGCAGAAAGGCAACAGTCCATTAACACTGAGTTGAACATAAAAGAATACAAATACATAATAAAGCATTCAATGGTGACACGTAATAAACATTGACGTGTGTGAAGGTACAGAAAAAAAAAAGCTGAAGCATAGATCGCTAGAGAGATGAAACGAAAATGTAGGCAACTGTAATGTGTGCTCAGGCTACGATAAAATATGATGTTCCAGCGCAGTGGCGAATGTTTCCCTGGACGCGGCTACAATTTCATGAGGTAGTTTGTTCCATTGCTTAATTGATCGCGGAAAAAAATGAATATTTAAAAAGGGTAATTCTGGTAGCGTACTCGCGCACTTTAAGGGGGTGATCAGTACGAGCAGATGTATACGTAGGCTCTGATATGTTGTTTTCTTTGCGAATACCCGTTAAACCATAAAATATTTTGTGAAACAGAGATAAACGTAAGAATTTGCGCCTGTCTTCAAGAGGAGGCCATCCTAAAGTACTCCTGATTTCGAAAGATCTTTTAGAAAAGTTGTAATCACCCGTGACGAAACTCTGTAATCTTTTTTTTTTTTTTCATTGCTCGCAAGCATAGTTTGAACAGAACGTATTTCGTTAGCACGGTGCACAGCGTAAGAAATAATGTACGTGATGTCTATGTCACGGATCAGTTTGTAGTGTAGAGTCTGGTGATGCTGGTTCTTGGACTGATTGGCACCTACTTACTCAGGGGGATCTCTCGCTGGTTTTGATGTGATGATGATGATTACGAATAATTTTTTATCTCCAGCCTACTAAGAAGAGGTCGGTGCGCCAAGAATCAGTAGTATGAGCCATGTGCAGAGGAAAACAACAACGACCTATATGACGACGATGTGTCAAGAGAGGGAGAAAATGCAAATCAGAATGTAAATATCCAATAAGCGAACACACAGGAGAGCGAGCAATCCGGATTTATTCCTTTCTGTAGTTTTCCTTCAACAACGTATACCACAAACCAATACAATCGATTGAGGAGAAAAAGGTGGTTTTTGCCTTCAGGTGGTCTCAGGCAAATGCTTGTGTAACCGTGTGACTTTTTTTTTTCCAATGTATATACATTAATCTATTCACCTATAGTCCGGCTTCATTGTAGCCGCAGTTATGAGCGCCTGTAAACGTTCGATTTCTGTCCTAGCTTCTTAGTGTGGGTGCGTGTCTTATTTCGTGAGGCCACCATCATCGTTATCATCGACGTGCCGTTCTTGTGATCCCGCTTGTGCGCCTTCCCTGTCAACGTCGTGGGAACTCCCGTTTACGCGGCTTGTGCATGCGAGGTGGTCATTGTGCGTTGTGCGCAGCAGCGGTTGCGCCAGAACACGAGTCGAGCGCAGCAGTCATGAGGCTTCATTTCTTCGGCCTGTTCAAGGGAAGGCACGGCTTGTGCGGCAGGCTGTGCGCCTGCGAACGCATTGTGAGGTGTTTCCGCAGTAAGCATCATCCCCCCATATCACTGTGTTTGACGCTATAGCTGTGATGAAGCTGTAGTTTTTGTGCCGCACGCGGAATATTTCGTTGAGAGTAAATCTTTTATCGTTCAATGAGAGTCCGCCGTGGTGTTGTAGCTTGTTACGGTGCTCGGCTGCTCACCTAAAGGTCGCGGGTGCGATCCCGGTGGTCGCATTCGATGGAGGCGACCTGCTCGAGGTTCGTGTATTGTCAGTTGATGTCAGTGGACGTTAAAGAACACCAGATGTTCGAAATTTCTGGAGCCATTTACTATACAGCGTTCCTCATAATCACATCGCGGTTTTTGGAACGTTAAACCCCAGATATTTGTTATCGTTAACCAGGAATGTCTAATAGTCTGACTGTGCGAAAACGGGACAACATGTTCGCTTTTACTTGATTTCGCCGTCACGGAGCTTTGCCATAGCGTGGGTCGTTGGCTGTTGCGTTTGTCGTTTTGTTATGGTTGATATCGTGCCCGAGAGTGCTCGGAAAACTTTTCTTTTTCGTACTGCTGCTAAACCTTGGCAAATATTTTTTAGTTTTTTTATTCGTTCTTTCGTAAACGTAAAGGGTCGCGGGATGGAGTCCCGGCTGGTGCGTATGTTTAAATTTAAGCTGCGCGTTCGAGGAGCCCGGGTGGTCGAAATTTCCGTAGCCATTCACTGCGGCGTCTGTCATTGTTATATCACAGTTTCGGCTTATAAAACCACAACCAGTATTATTGCCGTAAGCGTAAAAAGTTGCGCCGAATGTGAGAAGACGACGTTGCTGTCCCGAAGAGGCGCTGATAGGAACGACTTGCGAAGACGGTGGCGCTTCGATGCACTCTCGCATATAATTGCGCTCATGCGATTCCATGTTTGTTGTGGCGTACCAGGGATGAATGATGTTCAGCCTCCCTTTCTGTATGTTCGTGGGTGTAAAATTTAGAGTCGGGAGAGGTCGAGTGTTCTAATCCGCCCGTCCCCTCATCGCTACGCTCACTGTCACTGTAGTGGATAAAATAAGTGTAAATTTAAGGACTCATTTTTTTTGTTAGGCACAATAATAATGAGAACTAACAGACACTGATGCCGAAATTCCAAGGAAAGTAAAGGGGGCGTTATTGGAAGTATTTGTAATGTAAATGAGAAGGAAGGAAAGTGGATGAAAGATAACTTGCCACCGGCAGGATCCGAACCTGCCACCTTCGAATAACGCGCCCTAACCACTGGGTTATACCGTAGTGCACAATAAGGTGTATAACGAGCTCACGTCGCTTGCTTGACGTTAATGCTTTGTCGCATTCTTTCGTGAGAAGTTTGCCGCGGCGTTTGTTTTATGGTCCTGTAAATAAATAGATAAATAAGAAGTACTCCCAAGAATTGAAAGGTGAGCGAAGCGAACTGCCAGCAGCTGTTTTTGTTTCGGTTACGCCATCTGTTGGTAGACGCACCACGCAGGCGTGCATGTAACGGTTCTGTTTTGTTTTGTTTTTTTTTCTTGCGCGAGCGTTGTTTTGCGAGTGTCTCCCGGGGGCGGCGTACTCGTTTCGCCAGCGGCGCGTGACGCTTCGCATTGTGCGCAGCCGGTAGGTGTCGCCTCTTCCTGGGTCACCTCCTCTTTATGGCGCCGTTTTTCCGGTTCCGCGCGGCTCCCGTCTATCGGAAGTTCGCCTTTGCCGTAACTATAGTGACGTGGTTATGCAAAGAGAAAACAGAAAAATGCTAAGAAGACGTCATCTTTACTAGTGCATGGTTACAACATTTCTCTCTCTCTCTCTCTCTCACCTTTAGTCTCGGCTTTGTCTCTGTAAACAAACCACTGCGTCTGATTCTCTCCCAAAACTGAATCAGAGCGTCGGCTTCGAGATGAATCACGAATGCGTCGAGAATCGGTCGTATAGCCTACGTGCAACAGATCACGTCATATTCAAGAACTAACGCATGTTTTCCGTCATCGTCCTGGAGCCTAAGTGCAGGGTAAATGGGGTTATGCGGTTTGATTGCCCGACCGACGAGCCCTCCCTTATCAGGGTTGAGCTCATGCATTCGCTTATATTGCTCAAATGATTTATTTTTTACTTTTGTTTTCCCACACGAGGCATGCGCTTTCTATTGTACAATTTCTTACTGTTTGTTCTCGTAACTGCTGAGCACTGCATGGGTGATAGGGCTATTGCCAGGCGCTCTTTGCTTATATATTATTGGAGGCCGCGCACGACAGACAATGCACGAGAAATGAAACAAGACAACAATCGTTTCACAGCACTATACAGTTTCTCCTCGTTACCTGCCGTTCATGTGTAACGCGTTGGAAAACAATGAAAATGAGACGATATACATACCATGCGAAGCTGGTAAAATTAACACGAGGCTGTGCTGCACCTCATCGGTGTACACATGCATGCGCTGTGTCACTGAGCTAAGCAAAAATTGTAAAATCGTTTAAAATAAACCCGAGCGTTCGCGTTGCTCGGGACTGTGTTACAATAAACGACAAACTCGTGGACTTGACGTGCGTATAGTTTACTCGCATGGCTTGTCCCAGCTTTTCGTTGTCATCTATGTAATGGTATGCAACGTATTGGAGTTGCTAGATGATTTTCCAGCTAATGCAGCGATTAGGACATTCTGTGACGAGCTTGAAGTGATATCGCTATTGTTACATGGTTGTACCTGACCAGGTGAGACTCCGTAAATGACAGTCAAGGTAATAAGCACCACGCACACTATCTTCCCGTGCACAATTGCTCGGAATTTCAGAGGATGCTCTACGGGGACCAGAACGCCTTTCGGCTGTTGCGTCACCCGAGCCCTGTTTACTCGCTTCTACAAAACACTTCTCAACTCTCTAATAGTGCGCCCTATGCTAGACCATTTACGAGTGGCTCCCATATGCAAGACATAATAGATCGCTACAGTGTTGTGACGTGTAGTTAACGGTGCTCGTTGATTTCTTGCTTGGTGCAGACTTGTTCTTCCCGGCTATGATCCCTGAGCCGGACTACAGCGACTCCGAGGACGAGCGCGAGCAGCAGCGGCGGCGACCCCCCGTGAGGATGCCCGGCATGGCGGCCGCCCACCCTCACCACAACGAGGCCCAGTTGGCGCACGTGAACGACGAGGGCCTCATCGTGCCCCGCAAGCTGCCCAACCCGTGCGCCGAGTCGGCCGAGCGAAAGAGCCTGCACAGGGAGCTGCTCTTCAACCAGAAGATGTGAGTCGGTTCTCTTGGGTACGGTACGCATCAGTATTACGAGAGGCGCGTAGGCGTGACAGTTTTATCGTATATGCCGCGTTAAAACGGAGTTCCTCAACCTTCCCTTTGAACCACGTGCATTGGCACGAGAGAAAGGCAGACATGAAATTTTACAGGCTTTGCAGTTCTTGCACTATAAGTGTAGACTTACATTTTATACAGACATGACATTTTGTATGTGCTGCATGAAACCTGTCTTCCAGAATCTGGAAGTACCGTCGGAACGCTATAAACGACCTGCTATTACCACTCTTCTACTAACCTGTTTTATATGTGGATTGTTCGTGGCGTAATATGACGCCAAAAGTGGCAACATGAGAGCAAAACTTGGCGGAGTGGCTCTGTAGAAGTCACGCTGGCTTTTTCGATGTTCCGATACGTTGCGCATTGAGCCTTACGAGTATTGCTGTGCACTTTTCCTTTCTTGTCCGCCACGGTGGATCAGTGGCTAGGGGTGCTGACCCGAAGACTGCGGCGGTCGCACTTTGATGAAGGCGAAATGGTTGAGGCGATATCAGTGCACGTTGATTGATTGATATGTGGGGTTTAACGTCCCAAAACCACTATATGATTATGAGAGACGCCGTAGTGGAGGGCTCCGGAAATTTAGACCACCTGGGGTTCTTTAACGTGCACCCAAATCTGAGCACACGGGCCTACAACATTTCCGCCTCCATCGGAAATGCAGCCGCCGCAGCCGGGATTCGAACCCGCGCCCTGCGGGTCAGCAGCCGAGTACCTTAGCCACTAGACCACCGCGGCGGGGCCAGTGCACGTTGAGGAACACCAGATCGCCGGAATCTCCAGAGTCCTCCGCTACGGTGTCTCTCGTAACCTTATCGTGGTTTTGGATCGGAAAACAATTATTATTGTTATTATTATTATCTTTTCTTGTTGTTGTCGTGCATGTGTTATCGTATACACTCCAAAGCAGAATGTTTCGACAGGTACGCAAAATAATTAAATGGTTAGTGCATAAGTAACAACAACGTCACGTCAGAAATACGCGAGTACGTGGCGTCGCCGTGCTTTCATGATCCAATATTGGGCAGAACTTACCGAGCCGCTAGCATACGAAAGTGTACATCTACAGCGTACATCTCTCGCGCATTCAGTAGCGTTGTTAGCGCACAGACGAAATGTAGACGAAATAGCGCAAGTTGGAATAGGTTTTTTGTCTGTAACAATGCATCATACGGAGCTGGCGGCCGAACGTGCTTTTACTTTGACATCTGTCGAAACAGAAACGGGATTAAAATGTTGCGTGACTTAACTTTGGCCTTGCTCTTACTAACACTGTACGAGATAAAAATGAAAAGTTCACCCATCCGTCCAGTTGCCACGCAGCGACGATATGCTTATTTATTTATTTATTTATTTATTTATTTATTTATTTATTTATTTATTTATTTATTTATTTTATCCTCAGGGTACAAAGTACATTTCAGAGGGGAAGGGCATGCACAACAATAAAAAAAAACAAGGAATACAAAGCAAATGGCATAAAAATATTGTCACTAATTGGGGTACAAAGATGAATACTCCTAACAACTCGCATCGTAATAAAGCAAAAGATAACACTAATTTTATTTTTATTACATGGTGAAGGCACAAAGCAATACGATTCCTGTCGTGACTCATGCTCGGTGTGTTGTGCAGGGGCAAGAGCGTGCTGGGCCAGAAGAGCGAGCTCCAGAGGGCCATGGAGAAGATGAAGGACGAGCAGCGCCGGAAAGAGTTGGAAGAGGAGCGAGTCAAGGGGCGCACGGCGCTCGAGAAGCGACTCGAGGAGCAGGCCAACAAGCTCAAGCTGGTATACGTCCATTATTGCTGCTCCTGACACGGTTTGACTGTGCATAGGCTTTAAATCGACACTAAGGGGGAATTGCTGGATCGGTCTAGCTCGATCGAGTGTGCTCTCGTAACTCTCTGGTGTCATTTATTTCGTGGAGTTTCCCAAAAATTAACGAGAGGGGACCCTGGCGCTGCGATCGTTCGGTGACCGTGGGAATTATGGGTAGTACATGGATTTGCCTGGTCTTCGTGCTTGCGTTTTCCAACTTCGTAAACCGATTTCCATTGGTGTGTGTGTTGAAAAGGTTATGGTGGTGAAGTGCAACTGTCGAACATTTGCAGTTTTTCGTTTCGTTACGAAGCAGCTCTAAGCCGCGCGAAGTTTAAACGGAAGCAAAAGTACGAAAATGAGGCAAGTCCACGTACTAAGATCCGGCGATCGAACGTAATACGTCCTGGTACAGGGATCGAACTCCGGATCGGGGCATGCCACAAGCGGTTGGTTATCAGTTATGTCGTTCCGCCTTCCTAACTCGCGGTATTTAGCAGAACTCATTTGCGGTAATTTGTGCCCATGTTCTTCGAGCCGTAGACCCGCCAAGGCTTTCTAGTGTTCACGGTTCTCGACCGCTGACTCGAAGGTCACGGCGGCTGCATTTTAAACGGAGGTGACATGCCAGAGGCCCGGCCATGTTTATAGATTTAAACGCGCGTTAAACGCCTGATGGTCAAAATTGCCCTACGCAACAACGTCCCTCGGGATCACATTGTGGTTTAGGTATGTAAAACACCGACAATTGTCGTTCGAACTCTTGACTAATTAGCCCGCGCGCTGTTACCATCCTTATCTCAGTTGGTAGAGTCACTACCCCATCGAATCTTTGGTCCCGTGTTTGATCCCTGGACCGGGACTGATTTCTTTTCAACTAAGCGGCTCTTTCTGAAAAATCCGTTCGGGTTTCTTGGCTCTACAAATAAATTGCTTGGCTTTACAAACGAACGGTTGTCAATTACCAATTTCATAACCCTTTCGCCACCTTGTGGGATTCGGCAGAACTCATTGGCAACGGAAAACGGTGCTACTGGCAGCTTAGACCAGATAGATTAACTTTCATGGTTGAGCTGTAAATTTCACACCCTTGATTTTGCGGTGTCCGGTGCCAGTCGCGTACAAAACACGCCTAGTGCCTCTTAGGGAGCAGTGATGTGTTTTATGGATGTGTAGCTTCTTTACACATTGCTATCCGAGATCGGATTGTTCTGGACTGTGCGGTGCTCCCAACTTAGCGTGTTCTGGTTAAGCAAAACGGTCACGTGTCTTAAAATAAAAGTAGGAAAACTAGGTTTGATACGAGCGATGAGCGAAGGCTCCTCGAAACGACCGTACCTTATGAGCATTGCAGCACAACCCGCGGCTCACTGTCTCCTGTGAGGCTAGCTTCACTGCAGTAGGATGTAGCTTGCGGTGAAGCAGGCTTTCTTGAAAGAGGAGGGTGCGATATTGTATGCAGCAGTGTTAGTGTGAATGTTTTAATATGGAGAAAACGAAATGCTACACACTGATCTAAGCGCAATTTTACACCAATTCTGTGTGTGCATTGACACAAAAAATGGAATATGGCTGCACGTGCCTGGTTGATAGAATGCAAATGTAAAACATGTTTAGAGAACATGGTTGGGCACATTGCGTGAAGGACTCTGGAGCCTGTGGTAATTCGTTGTCTAGCAAAAGGCTTCGGGTTTGGTTTCCAGCTCGATGACCCTGCATTCCAGTGAGAGCACAGTGCAAAAGTGTTCTTGTACTGTAGTGCATATGTTTGATAAAGAAACATGTTGCCAAAGTTAATCCAGAGTAATCCAATAAGTGCATTTAATATACCCTTCGCTGCTTTCAGTTGTTGAACTATTGGTCAAATAACGTTTGTGTGTCACCAAGTGACATTTGTAATCATTTTTGTGAAGGTCGTATTCTTTCATTCCCCATCAAAACATGAAAAATTTTTGAACATAGGTTGTTGCTGGAGCCAACATTTTCATAAGTGGTCTTTCCTTCAAGGCTATAACTTTGAACAAGAGATTGGTTGTTGAAGCGTTGGCTCTGACAGCAACTTGTGTTGAAGAATATTTCATAACTTCAAGCTTTCGTCTTTTCCTGAACGTGCTCCTCATTTGTATTTGATTACCTCTTGCAGCACGAAGAGACAGAGGTGATAAAGACTGACCTGCCCAGCTCTGAAGAGTCAGAGTTCCTGCGGGTGCACGCACGAGTCTGTTCCCACACATTGCCCGTTGACTCCAAGTCGTAGTTGCATTGGCCTGTCCTTCAGCAACCGCTGCTGCCGATGTCATATCTCGTCGAAAGAGACCACCCATGTACATAGTCCCCAGTTTTTTTTTTCATTTGCCTTCCTTTATCCCTGGTCCTTATTAACAGACATGCGAGAGCAGATGGCCTGAGAAAGGCCCTCTGCGAGTCTATTTTTGTGCTTGACGAGCCTTTGTCATAGGAAGAGCTTTGAGAGACGCGATGCATAGCTACACCGCAGGCCGCTGTGTGGTGTTACTAAATGCTTGCAGTCATTACCGTAGGTGTTACGCCTTTTTGAACCTGATGAGAAAAAAAAAATGATGCTGTTGACTAGTGTGTTTCATGAGTACCATTAAAGAGAATCTTGGAGATTTCTCTGAACCAGTTGTCTTTGCAGTCCCTCACTTCATTATTTGTCACTCGAGAGTATTTTTTTATTGCGTCACAATAAACAAGAGTCCAAGGTTTCTCATGTTTTCTCATATGACTCAATCTGAAATAGCATCTGCTCAAAAGGATGACGAAAAAACAATCTAGTCGAAATATACTCCCAGGTTATTCCCACACTCCCAGAGCCACTTTTAGAACCATCCCCTTTTTTAATGTTTGTGAAACTAATTTGCGCTTCTAAGGGTAACACGAGTTGGTTCCCTTATTTATTGAAAGCTTCAGGAATTAACCGACAGTGAATCGTGGTCTTGGTCTTATCACCTTTGCGCTTATTATGTTATTGACTGCCGCACAAATTAGGCATGCGTTCTTGGAAAACAGCATTCGCAATATCTAAACTGTATTATTTGTATATTTACTCGAGGTACCGTAAAGATTGAGATCACAGGGGTTGCATCAATCAATGCAAAAGACAGCTTACCTTAGTTCTATCCAGTGTAAAATCTCCAGAAACAGTGAAGCTGCGGTTCTCCCTTGTGATATTCTGTGATGTTTTGTGTGGGTGTAGGAGATTGTGGGACTTGTGTGATAGAGATACACTGTAGCCTTTGCCACAGTGACAGTTGAAGCGGACGCTCGTCAATCGTAAGCCTTTGAAAATACAGAAAACACATACTTTATTCTCTCCCGGCGTTTACCGTTCTGACTGTGCAATTCGTGACATCAGCAGTTTGTTGGTGTTGCATGAGGATGAAGTAAGCTCCCCGTTAGTCAATAAACAAAAGACATCAGTGGTGAATTGTTTCATACTTTGCTTTACCGTGCAGTGGCATGCACATTCTGCTTTGTATTACGTGACTAGCGCGCGCTCGTTCTTGGCTTGTGACTGCGCAAAAAGCACAGTGTGTTTGAAAGGCACGAAATCCCAACTATCTCAACTCTTAGTGCTGATATTTTACGCGTGCTATAAAGAAATGAATGTCGAAGAGGAGTTAGCACTTGTAGGAAGGGTTATAGTGAAGGCGTGAAAGAAACTACTGCCTCGTCCTTAAACTAGGGGGTGGTTTTAGAGGTCCTTTAAAACAAATAAATTGATGTTGACAAAAAAATACTAAACGGTGGCTTTGAAGCATATAGTAGGAAACTTAATGCTTTGAAGTAGGCATAGTTGATATGTAGGACCATGTTCAAAAATATCGCTTGATTGGACTGCAGTGTATTTCCCACATGGGGCTGTCACCGAACGTAGAAGGGTGTTGTTCGGGTATTGCTGAAAATGGCTTCCTGACTTACCACAGTCTGATGCAGTCGCGGTGATTACGCGGCAAACTCAGCAACATGATCGCAAAGCCGCAACGATGACGTCAACGCGGAAGGCGGAGCAACAGGATGTACGTGTGAAAGAAGAGTGGTACATCCGGCCCGCCCGTTTCCTTCTGATTTCATCTATCTCTCGCAGTGCCTTTCGTGGTATTGAATGCTGCATATCCTTTGATTTCTGCCTTACGTCTATTGTTTTGAAGCATGCTTCCTTCTATAAATGTGTTGAGACAACTTGTACAGCCGTGTAAATCGATACACAACGCCGTTTAGTTGTGAGCAGTCTTTTGTCGAGAAAATAGCTGTCCAGAGCATTACACTGGCGGAATTTGTCAAAAAAATTCTTTTGACAACAGACGGTTTGCCTCTACATGACAAGATGACAAATGTATGCGGTTGGCAACGGTCCGTATACGTTTGCTCACGAATGTACACGGGCTGAATTTGTCATCAGAAGTATGCAAACACGCATACTGCAAAAAACACAATAGACAAGCATGATTACAATTCAAACGGCTCTGTGCCAACTCTGTATAACTCGCCCAAATTCTCGCTCTTGCAAGTGCTACAGAAGATCCGCGTGTGCTGTATCGACCCAAAGGTAGCAGGATCGAATCCTGGCCACTGCAGCAGCATTTTGATGAAGGCTGAATGTTATGGGTCTGTGTGGTTAGGTTTAGATGAACGTTTAAAAAATCTCAGGGGGCCGGAATTTCCGGAGTCCTCTACTATGGCGTCTTCCATAATAATATTGTGATTTTGGAACATAAAACACGGACAATCATTATTTGTTATAAATGTACTGTCTCACACTCCTATTCTTAAGGTCATAGTTCGAAAGAGTGGCTACTTGGGCTGGTTGGTATTGCATTTTTGAAAGAAATATACTGTTTTAGTGCGCAGAGAACGTTTGAGAAGGAAGAAAGAGCAGAGAGATAGGACAGTGGGCTCTATCCTATCTCTCTGCTCTTTCTTCCTTCTCAAACGTTCCCTGTGCACTAAGAAAGTATATTTCTTTCAAAAATCAGAGTTCGGATTCCTAAAGCCTGCAATTATATATTTTTTTTAAAGTTTCACGATCATGGTGTATCCGTGATCGTGAAAGAGACTGATGTCCTTGCGTCTGTCCTCGCACTTGCAGCACGCTTCTGCAGCATAACATTTGTTCTTCTTGGCCAATAGCTGGAGATCCCAAGATAACGTGCTTTCCAGCATCTGCGCGCATCATGACTCGGAATATTTGCCGAATGGCATTCATGCGTAAGTACAGCATGTATACCATGTGTATACCATGCAGCATGTATACCATGGTTTATTTCGTTTCTTCATACGTTCACCTTTTATAGTGCCGGTTTTTATAGAAGAATGCTGTTTAGAGAGGAAAATGATGGCGAAACTTGCAGTAAGCTGCGCAGGTCTTCAAACAGCGAGGCTAGCCGATTCTGAAATCCGATATCGTTTCTTCTAGGTTGTAGCTATAGGCTATAGCTATAGGTGATTCTAGGTTGCTTATTCGTTGCTTCTAGCTTGCTGCTAGGCTTTAGCTAGGTGCCTCTAGATTGTATCTAGGTTGCCTCTCGGCGCAGAACTGGTTGTAGTTAAACCACAGACGCGACACACATGTCCAAACTGCACAGACAGAAACTCGCGCTGAAACCAAGTGTTCGCAACTCTCAACAGGGGTGTAGCCAGGGGGTGCCACACCGGGCTCGTGCCTCTTCCCTCTCACCCCCCCCCCCCCCCCGATATGTTTTTTTCGCAATTGCATAGAGAGCGTCAAACGACCATTTGAAAAAAATGCCCCCCCCCCCCCAAACAAAGTCTGGCTACCCCCTGCCTCCCATAGGTGTTCGGGCGTGTCGTTCGAGCAAAGCTTCCATCGCTTCGAGGTATTCTCGCAGCCGACATCGCATTTCCCGTTCCCTAATCTTTCGTTGTACGTACCGCCGAGGCCGTTGCCTCAGTGTTTACGAATGCATTAATCCCGATCGTCTTTCAACGTTTTTCTCAAGTACTGGTTTACTAGTTCTATCTGTCTAGAAATGCTAAATAGTGTTTACCGCCTTCATATTTAGTGCACCATCGGTTAGTATAGTGTCACTTGCCATATTCTGTGGCACGTACCCATTCATGGTGATAGTGTTCTTTTGTTCGCACTTGTACGTGCTGATGTTTTTATATGTAAAAACATCGGTATGTACAAGTATACGAACGGCATAAAGAGCTTTTCTGAAAAAGTAAATAGATTGTGTCAAAACACAGATGGGACACTAGCGATAAGATAATGCAACGCACAACCCTGAACTATCAATACATTGCTGGTGGCGCACAAAATAAATCCGTCATTTCTCGTCGTCAAAATGTGGAAATTGTACCCTAAGGTTAATCCAGCTGCTATACCGCGTGATTCAGTTGAAAATGTAGTTGTGCATCAGGCTGCTGACGTATATATGCGGCCCGGGAGGAACCGAAAACTATGGCAGCTTCCTACTTCTACCGACAACAATTGAGGCCATCTAGGGTACTAATCTCATTGAAATTCCGCAGTAACGCGAATGAATTCGCGTGGTATGATCGTTACGATGGCAGCAGCTCGCAAGTCCGGCGCATTACAAAAATTGTGCGAGTCGCCGTCATCTTAGCACTTAACATGTCCAATGCGAGACCAAGGGCGCATTTCTCCAATATGTATGATAGCACGTCATGTGACGTGACATCACAGTGCCGCCAAGTCGAACATTCTGGTGATCTGTGACGTCATGATGACTTCATATGGTGACGTCATTTTGTGATAGTGATTTTTATCACTTGTGTTGATGCCGCCGACGGTTAATGCAGTGCGTTTGATGAGGCATGTAAGGCGACACCCTTATAGACAGTCCGGGCTGGAGACCATTCGAGAAATGCCTAACACGCTCTACCAAGTGGCCTGGACTTGAATGCAATAAGAGTGCACAGATAACTGCTATCCAAACAGTGAGAAAACCAGTGGGAGGCACAGATGACAAGCCTGACTCCCAAGGAACAGCTACAGCCGATGGGCTTGGCTATAGATTATCAGTCAAAGGTCACAGCTGCTTGGGCCGAGGGAGATGCTCACTTCCGGGTGTAAACAGCGTCGTCAAGTAAATAAAGATTGTTTCTCCCTACTAACAGCTCTGCCCTTATCAGCCGACACCGTCGTAGCACACCCAATATTTTTCAGATATTATATTAACGCCTTTTTAATTTAATTTCCTGCTATCGTCGGACTGCGTTTTCCGCTCCCTCTGTTTTCATTGTGTTTCTCTATCCGAGCATGGTTATATCTAAAACCTATCATGGCACGAACTTCGCCTTGAGATGTATATATATAGTAGACACTGGGCCTTGCACATATGCTTGCAGAAAAATCTGTTTGTGCAGCTGATAAAATATAATTAAAAGGAAGGCACTTGCTGGGAAGGTTTTCTTGAAATATTTCGTGACGATAAAATGAAAAGTCCTGTGTACATGACAACGTGCAAAGTAAACATCGAGCATCGCACAAATTGAAAAAAAAAAAGAAATCCTGACTTCGCAAAAATATCACGTGAAACACGCGTTTCGGTGATCGCAAAACTTCGTCGAGCCGTTCCAGACGCTGGCGAACGACTGAAAAAAAAGAGAGAAAAGACGCCATCCCGATGCCACCTGAAGACAAAACTTCCGGGACATTTTCAAGGCGAAAGCCTTTAATTCCATAGACTCTCGTCGTCTGTCTGTCTATCCGCCCACCC